ACGGACAACCGTAGCTGGGATCCAGCCGCTAATGGCAGGGCGTAAGCCACACTCCGCTGTGGTTTTGTAGAGCTCTTATATCCGGCTGAATCTGCGTTTGTGTCAACCGTTAAAGGTATCAAAATGTGCTTTTCAATGCTGTTTCCGTTGCGTAGAGTAAGGCGAACTAAAAGGATGTCAACTCTCTTGCCAAAGTTATGGCGTTTATAATACCATCGGACTGCTTTTCGCTGAACTATTTTTCCTGTACCCTTGCAGCATAAATATGACATCAGTGAGACCTCTTCGGAACAACGCCTATGAGAACTTTGCCCTAAAGAACAATTACGAGGTCTCCGAATTACTCGGCTCCGGGGCTTACGGTCGCGTTTTCAGAGGCACTTCTCCAAATGGCTTGACTGTAGCTCTCAAGGAAATTATAATCCCTGCAGACGATCAGGGGATCCCGTTGAGTACGCTGCGAGAGCTGAGTGTACTGAAGAAGGTCCAGGCTTATAATTCACCCTATCTCGTTCAGTAATTACTACTTCAATGTGCTTTTTATCTGAAATTTGTAGAATGTTAGACATTTCTTTGTGTCGGCGGGCGGAGAATTTGTGCATTTATATTGTTTTTGAATTCATTGACTGTGATCTCTCGCGTTATATTTCGCATCATGCACCAAAAGTCGGTCTACCCATCAGCTCTATTCGAGTAAGTGTCCTCCAATTTCGTACCTATTACCCATTTAGAACTTGGCGTCGCAATTACTCAAGGGTATTGATTTTCTTCACTCCCACCGGATAATTCACCGTGATCTAAAGCCCGCTAACATCTTGATAAACGAAGCAGGCACTCGACTGAAAATAACCGATTTTGGCCTTTCTCGTGTACTCGGGTGGGAGTCACCCCTCACACCCATTGTGGTCACACTGTGGTACCGTTCACCGGAGATCTTAATTCAGTCTGAATACTCATCAGCTTGCGACGTCTGGGCTGCAGGCTGCATAATAGCTGAGCTGTTTAATTTGAAGGCTCTATTTATTGCTGACTCAGAGATTCCCATGCTGAAGAAGATTCTAGAGTAAGTGTCGCCTTATTGAAATTAATTCAATTTCCATCTAGCATTATAGGATTTCCCCCAGCTTCAGAGTGGCCGAGCGTTTCCTTCCTGAAGCTAAGTGACTTCAAAAAGGTCGGTGAACACAATATTCTGCGTTCCAAGGTGAAGACCACGGATGAGTCGGCTTTGAATCTAATCGAAGTGAGTACTATACGAGTCCGCTAGTGGCGTTCGTCTGTTGTGGTATTTTTCTGATCTTCTGCTTGCAACTGTCCTTCTGGTGCACGCTTTCTGTTCCATTCTTATCTCCGGCTTCAGTTTTTTGCGCACCTGGCCACCTATAATTATTTATTGACTTTTTACGCGAGAGTTTAATCATTTCGAATACTCTCATACCCTTAACTCTAATCTTGCATGCATTTTGAATTTTTCTTCTTTTTTACACTTTGACACCGAATTGCATGACGATATTTCCCTCCCTCTTACCTTTCATATCG